AAAAAAAAAGAATTTATGTGAATGAGAGTGGTGATCCAAAAAGACTTCTCTCCAAAGAGGTGACGTTGGCTCTAAACAATGCAAAATAAGGACAGGGGCAGCGCCTGTGGCTCAGTGGGCCCAGCGCTGACCCCATAAACCAAGGGTGGCAGGTTCAGCCCCCGGCCAAACTGCAACAAAAAAATAGTCAGAAATTGTGGCTCTTGTAGTTCCAGCTATTTGGGGAGGCTGAGCCAAGAGAATCCCCTAAGCCCAAGAGTTGGGAGGTTGCTGTGAGCTGTGACGCTACATCACTCTACCAGAGACAATAAAGTGAAACTGTCTCGGAAAAAAAAACAGATATGGGAGAGGGAGAGAGGAACAGAGGAACCTGCTAGCGGAAGTAACAATAAGTGCAAAAGCCCTAAGACAGAAATGTCTTAGAGGAAAAACGAGGAGGTAGGTGTTACATATAGGAGGCCATTGGTTTGGACTCACCTCTGCTAGTACCAACAAACAAAACCAAAATGGAGTTACTCATGCTAAAGTTCCCCTCCATGAAGCCAAAAGTAAGATCTGTATCTTACCTTCCAGGAAATCAGGAGAGAGAAAGAAAGTAACAAAATCTCTAAACAGGACAGTTTTAGCCCGTCCCCTCTGCTCTAAGTTTTACAAGAAAAGCAACTTTGGGGACAGCGCCTGTGACTTAAAGGAGTAAGGCACCAGCCCCATATGCCGGAGGTGGAGGGTTCAAACCCAGCCCCAGCCAACACTGAAAAAAAGAAAAGAAACGAAACTCTAAAATGATGAGTTGAAGGCCCAGTGCAGTGGCTCAAGTCTGTAATACTAGCACTCTGGAAGGCCCAGTTAGGTGGATTGCTGGAGCTCAGGAGTTCAAGACCAGCCTGAGCAAAAAATAAAAAGCAAGAACCCTGTCTCTACTAAAAATAGAAAAGAAAAAAAAAAGGAAAGTGAGCCAAGAGGATTCCTTGAGCATAAGAACTGTAGGTTGCTGTGAGCTATGATAATGCCACTGCACTCTACCCAGGGTGGTGACTCTCTCTCAAAAAAAAAAAAAAAAAAAAAAAAAATGACGTGTTGAGTTCTCTTTGTTTTTTTTTCTGCTTTCCTCAGCCCATTCCTATCGAACCAATCCCTACTTACTCATTGGAACATTCATTCTAGAATGAGGTATTGCCCGATTCTAGAATCACAAATAATTGCCAATTAAGGTCTTTAAATTTGTTCTCATTTTGTCTTTTGACACAGTGTGGCTTAAAGAGAGTCAGAGGAGACAAGTGGTAGAATATGAAGTGTAGGAGGGGAAGGGAGAGAGTACACTTGGGGCCTTGTAACTTCTGTAAGAAATTTAAGGCTCGGTGCCTGCAGCTCAAGTGGCTAAGGCGCCAGCCACGGATACCTGAGCTGGTGGGTTCGAATCCAGCCCGGGCC